GCGTATAATATATATTTAGATAAAGCAGTGTATGTACTGTACATAATTACAACACTCGTGTGATGTTTTTATGAATCCAGACTCGTATTTTAATGCCTTTCATTATGAAACAGTCACATAAATTATTATTATGATATGTGTGTAGATAAAAGTATTTTGAGGCGCGGTTTTTCAACGCGAGCCTAGACTTTAGGAGGTGAGGTGTGGGAGGTCGCCCGTTGCATTTCGCAATCCTCGCGTTCAAGATTAATATGAATATAATAAGAACATGCGGAGGAAGTTTGATACAGATCCGACGTCCAAAAGCGCTCGATGACGACTGACGGGGGAGCGGGTACGCGGCGTGTCATTAAACTGCTGGACGATTTGCAAGTTTTAGGATAAATGTGAATTTAATAACTACAGCCGCTTCAGTTGAAAACCAAAGTTTAGCAGGTTCTGTGGTACTTGAAGAGAAATATCTCCGCATGAAACTTTATTTATTATGTACAGAGTTAGATATATTCGTTTTAGACTTTTGTTTTAGGCTGTGCTGTCACACCTTTATATAATCGGATAAAGTACATCCTATTCCCATCGTCAGGATTTTCTTTAGACAATATGAGGTACATCGTGTATTTTTTGTGAGACCGTTATTTGATAGTAAATACCTAAACCATTATAATTATTAATACAAAGATCCAACACTCAGAAAAAATTCTTTCGATCCGGTCGGATTCGAACCGACGTCTTCTTGCATACCGTGCCAGACGCTATACCAACTAAGCCACGGAACAAACCAACGGACCTCACGAATTTTTCTATGTGCTTGCGTCGTGTCTTTGTACTTGGTCTTTCAACGACTTTTTAGTCGTAGCGCCATCTATGAGAAATCTATGACAGATTTATCACCCAGTTAGTACCTTTACAGCTACCAGTCCTGGCGAGAGATGTCGCTATTCACTGTATTAATTAAATTTTTATTGAATTGATATTCAATTATTTTTTGTGAAATTACTCCACTAGTTTGTTATAATTATTAATACAAAGATCCAGGTATGCAAGAAGACGTGTTGGATATTTCAGACGTGGAGTAATTTCACAAAAAATAATTGAATATCAATTCAATAAAAATTTCATTCATTATACCTTTTTTTAACGGTGGAGAAATGCTTTATGAATACGACCGAGCTTGGGGAAGCTCGGAAGTTATGTGGGATTCTCGGGCATACCGCACTTAAACTCCACCGGCGTTGCCCGCAAGGCCGTGTGTTGTGGGTGCCGTAGGATCCCGAAGATTCGACCATTCGACCACAACGACACCCGAAACGATTTGACCTAGCAAAACAGTTTTCCGCTTCTCCTCCGGTGGTTTGCCTTAACACAAATTTTAACATACGATTTGATTTATTAATTCTTAACCAGGTGTACATTATTGTATAATTATAGAAGCAGTTGAGCTTCCTGTTAAAGAGTTTGTTGAGGAAACTACTGCCACCTTACCTATTTCTGTCACTAAGCAGTAATGCGCTGATGAAATTATAGGCACATGGGACTTGTCAACTTATGCCTCGGGATGACAGGCGCAGTGGCAGTGCCCCTCAGATCTTTGCGATTCAAAGCTCTGAATGGCACTGCAACTGTCACACATATAAATTAATAAAAATTAATTAAGAAAAAAAAACAATGTTGAATTAATAGTTTCGTCAAAACGTATTACAATTGAAATGATCTTATTTAAAAAAATACACTGATATTTACTATATATATATATATATATACGTTTGCGCCGTCTCATCTGAGTCACACCAGCGGGTTGGCAGCGAATCAATCAAAAACGAATTACTCACTTACCGCAAAAAAAAACACTAAAATGTATGTTATAGTTTATTATAGACACTTAAACAATTTCTCAAATATATTTAACAATAAAATTGAAAAAATAATTTCATGTTTTTGAATAAGGGTTATTTTGGCTAGAACTAGCTCACATAAAGTGTGTCTCATTTTGAGTTAAGCAGATGTCTTTCGATTGTTTCTTGCAATATTCTAACGACAGTTTTTTTAAGTGTAGAGAATCAAGTTTTACGTACAGTAATGATATAATATTAAATTTCACTTATTTTGAGTTACAACACTATTGAACAGCCGTGCGACATTTGTGCCAATTGCAGTGGAGACTCAGGGGACTTGGGGTGCGTCGTCGGTAATGCTGTCAGTATTATGGGGACATTGGAACCAGCTACGATTCAGAACGGTCCTTTTTCATTCTTATAGTTAAATATAAACAAAACTAAGTCAGGCGAATTGAATTATTAATTTTTATATGACGAAACCTGTTGCAGATTTATATTTGTTGCGGATTGACATTTATAATTAATGTAGGTTTTGAATGTATAAATTATTTTCTAAAAATTTGTCACTATTTAAACATTTCACATTAGTCGAGACTACAGACTCTAAAAAAATATATATAATAACTGTTGCTCTTACGCAAGTGCCATGATCAAGGATCATGCATTTCAGAGAGAGCAAGACTGACTGTCTTTCTTTAACATGAGTTTATTATACGTTTGTCAGTTTCTTTTTTCTGACGATAAACATTACAAATCACAAATTCCACGTTGTTTTCAAAAATATTTATTAACTTCTCTTTGTTTTAGGAGAAAAATCGAAGGAAGCTGATGGATTAAGGAGTTTGCTGGAAGATGGAGTTAGCAAAATTGACCTGGACATCATTACTGATGACAGGGATGATGTAGAAGAGCTGAAGGTCACAACTCTTGGGCCCAGTTTAGAACAGAAAGTAAGAAAGCATATTATTATTATAGATAGATAGTTTAAGATCGTCACACATACAAACATTTACTAAAATTGAAACAAAATATTTTTCCCCATAAATGAAACGTAATGACTTTCAGATTTTACGTCGTAAAAAAAATATCAAAACTCATATTATCTATAGGGCGAGTGAGTCCATATTTTGGAATTTAGATGTTTTTACAAACAGTGCTTTAAAATTTGACTTCAATATTATGTCAGGTATATATTAGTTTAGTTAACACGTCTGATCTCAGGGTAGTTTTGTATTTAAAATTACGGGTCAGCATTTAAAGGTTATTATGGTGAACCAGGTACCGGGCGTGACGGAAACTCCACCTTGGACAGCCGCCGTGGACTCCTGCGATTGCGCAGCCTGCGGCGGACAGCGCTGTGCTTGTCCGCTTAGCGCCAGCTGCAAAACTGGTAAGCAACCTAGTGATTGTTTAACACTCTAATGTAACACACGTTATGACGCCATCTTTGTTATAACGTCAGTGGTGGACTTAAACCATAAAACTTTGTTTTCTCTTTATTTATCCAAAAACTTTCATGTAATTCGCAAGTTTGTTATAATAAGGACACATCTGCTATTATTTAGGTGTCAATTTGCAGAACACACGTGTACTTTGGACCGATCTTTTTGTATATGGCGTAGAGTTAAATTCAAATCTTAAATGTCAAACGTATCCCTGATCCTGCACAATATAGCCTTTTAATTACAATATTGATTTCTTACAAAATAATTTGAAAAAAAAAAGGTCTTAGATGAAATTAGTCTTTTTCAATTCTTTTGTATTGAGCATTTTTGTTATACTATTTCCCCTATATATACTTAGATAATAGATTTCCAGAGGTATCTACGAGGCAAAACTCAATAAGTGTGTGAATTTTCGTTAAATTATTTAACCTGATTTTTTATTATTCTATTGTGGAATCCATAACATTTGCAGGGTTGCCAGTTTCATAAAAAAATAAATAGTCATGTAGTGCTGTTGTCGACAGTTTTATCGATAGATTGCGAAAGAAGAATAAATATTACCAAAAATGTCTAAATCGTGAATGTTACGACGTTCTAATTATTACTAATTGCGTTATTGCCTAGTATCGATATCAATTTTTATACATAAATTATAAATTTTAACAAGAACAGGCAGATTTGATTACCTATATTGAATTAAAATGAAAACGTTTAAAATATGTCTCCTCTTTGAAATTTTTAATGGACGTAGTTCTACTTGTAAATACAGTGTATGTATGTGTGAACGTACAAAAATTGACAATTCAAAATGAACCTGTGCCCAGCAGTTGGACGAATAATGGGCCTGAATAATGGGAATGAGATCAACATTCGTTCGATAGTCAATAGGATATTTATCGACTGCAATCACTGTATAAGCGGCCAACACTTTCACGCCATGATAGATTTAACTCCATCAATGCCATCAACCCGGTTTGTTGACAAGTGCATGAGCCGTACACTATCATGAATTAGATAATACATTTCGCGTAAATTCACACATTTATTGGGTTTTACCTCAGAGCCCTCGATTTATTTTATGTCTCACTAATGGGCATAGGTTTCCTCGAGGTGTAATAGAATGTTAGTACAGCAATTGATTTTCCTCTTTTTACAGTCTTACGTTTCAAATTCCGAAGGGCGAACCTTTCATCCCTTATTTACTTGCCTTTCTCAAGTCACCCTCGGAAGTAACGCAAAGCCTGGAGTTTTCGATTACAGAGAAAGTTGATTGACTGAATTAATATATTAAGACATGACATTTGTATTTTAATTTTGCTTTTTGGCAAATAGATTACTGGCACATTTTGTGTTAACGTCAGTACTTTCGTGCTATCTTGTCCTGTAAAAGTTCTAACTGCAAACCAGCTTTACAGTAGTCGTGCTGTGACTAATATATTATGCTGAATTGGATCCGTTTCAGCAATTGTTATCATTTATCTTTTCCCTGTAAGTCTTAATAACATTTTCTTACATGGGACTTGTCAAATTATGTCTCAGGGTGACATGCCGCAGTGGCAGTGTTCCTCAGATCTTTGCGATTTAAAGCTCTAAATGGTACTGCAACTGCCACGGCCGTGCGGTGTCGCTTAACACCAAGCACACGACTTATTCGTCCCGTCACTTGGTAACATAAAAAGAAATTAACTGTAAATATTAGTTACTTGTTTTCCTATTTCGTCCACAAAATTGTAACAGAACAATGGATCTTATGGTTTGTATAAATTAATTTGTGGCGGTTGGAGTTTAAACTAGAATTCGAATCTGCTATTTAAGTCACCAGCCTCCATCTTTAGAAAATACGATTATCAAAATCGTGAATAGAATCCCACAACCATGTTGGTCTGCATGCTATCTTTCACGGTTTCAATCAACCTTACGGCAGGCAGTTCCAAACGCGTATTCCAATGTGTGGTAGCTACTCGAGTACCTTTCACGGTTTTCATTTTACGAATCCAATGTTTGCTTAAACCATTTATTTCCCCATACATTAATATATACTAAAGTACAGAAGACTGTTTAGATATACAAAACATAAATTAAATTATTCGTGTATGGGAGACAGTTTCTGTATTTCTTAGCGAGAATCACTGATTTTAAGAGCTCCGATCTTTGCAAACTTTGAGATTTAAGAAAGCATATTTGATGGCCTACTTGGAAAAACATTGAATTCCTAACGAAGAAGATTTTGAAAAAGAAATGGTGAAGCAAACGTCGTGACAAAACCCCACAACGCAGGTTTATATTAAAGTTATGTTATGAACTCTAGACCCACATTGGGCCTAGCATTGTGGACTATGGCCTTACTTCTCTCCTTAAATGATACTTGTGCGCAACAATGAGAAGTATATCGCACATTTGGTGCTATATTGACGTAATTGTAATTTTGTCAAAATTTAATTATATGTGTTTACATTTGAAGAAAAATCGGCAGTTATTTCCAATTTATATGTTATATTGTAAAAATACACAAAGTTGTTTTGACCCATTAAACAAGATAAAAAAAATCAATTCAAATCAATTTCCTGTAACATTACAAGAAGTATAATTACGTCAGTGTAGCACCAAATGTGCAATATAAGTTGATGGTAACCATTTTTTGACTAAAGAAACTTTCATGAGTTCTCACAGGTGACGCTACGGCAAAACAGAAAAGATCCAAAACCCAATACAAAGATTCCCAACAAGCACAGAGAAATTCGCAAGTTGCCAGAGCGGTAGCCGCGTTGAGGCGACAGACGCTGTTTGAGTCCCGTTGGACCAAAGGATGTTTTCTTTGTATATGTTCGATCTCTTTATTAATAATAATAATAACGATCTTTATGTTTAAAAAACATTCCATCTATAAACTGTTTAAGTCATTGATAATTTTTGCCCCTCAATCGACAAAAGGTACAGGGTGCTTGAATTGTATTAAGTGGTATCGAGGGTTCTTGATCTACAACCACGTTGAGGTAGGGGATGGAGAGTACAGCCCTCTGTATTATGCAACTTCCCATTTGGACAGACTTCAGTTAGCAAAAAATTTTTGCAGCGCTAGGCATGAGAACATCGAGTTTCAAAGACAATTAACGACATTTTTCTCATCGTTCTTTCTGATAAAAAATGCAGTAGAAAAGAAGTCAGACTTACACGTGTTACGATAGTCAATACAAACAGATATGCGTGTCAATTGATAGCGTGTCATTTCCCATCCTAACTTAATTAATTTAGATGTTAAACGTAATGAATCATTCATATGTATATTTAATGTAAATTTAGAATAGAATAGAAAATAATATAATAGGCATTTATTGCAGCGCCACAACACATAGATACAAATAAGAGATCAATAATACTTAGACGAATAAAACAACATTCAGTAAAACAGAACCGACAAAAAGCAATAAATAACAATTTATAAAATATAACAATTTGTACGGTCATTTGTGTGGTTGTGGCGTACACACTATGACCTCATTCAACTTATGTCACAGCTTTAATAGGTTTTAAAAACATAATTACTTCGCGACCTATCGTATCCGTAACGCGAACAAATTTATAGTCAGGTATGATCCTGTAAAGTACCAGGAGAGCAAAAGTGCACAGAGCTCTCTATCGATCTAGTCCCGTGGACGATAGAGACCTTTATGTGCTTATCTCGAATATCAGGAAAACATGAATTGCTTGAGATCGCAGAGTATGGAGCACTTTTGCAGTGAATAATGAAGTACTGACATTGAATATCTTTTCATGTTATCAGAAATAGTAAAATAAAAAAATAGAGAACTAAATATAATATAAAAATGAAATATATAAAAAACAGAAGTAAAATAAATAAAAAGTTTCTACTTTTGCCACATTTAGTTAAAGGCTGAAAATTTAATCGAGGACCGCGCCCTGAGGCGTCTTACCTTTCCCTTTTTCTTTTGCATAACTAAACTCATTCTTTGACGGAAGTAGCGGGCTTTTTGGTCACCGGAGGCTTTAACAAGGCAAACTGAAAACTGTAGCGAGAAATTTTGCCTGTAGCTCCTGAGAGGTCCCGGGGTTTCCCCTCTCTAAAACTTACGCCTGAGTTTTTTTAAAATGATTATAAGCTCAGGCGTAACTTTGCGGAAATCCATGTTGATAAACATGGATGTAAATTAATTTACTACTCCGTGAACTCGGCGATGGTTAACCCGTGCAAAATAACTGCGCTTACGTTGAGTATTTTTTTCATCCAGGTAATTTTTCCACCCTCCCTCCGCATAAAATAAATAAAACAAACGCAACTACAGTGACAAACACGACCACCAAAAATATACTCGACACGTGTTTCGCCGCTAACGTCATCTTCTAGAGTTGTTGATCGCTCGACGCTTGGCCAAAGAATGAGGTCACTCGGAACGGATGGTCATATTTGTACCCCACTACCTCCACTATAACAACGGTTAAAATTTTCAAAATACCCGCAATAAAGGTTAAGAAAGGTGTGGTTTTTTAGCTGATCGCTACATATGACGACCTCTGTCGTGGAGTGGCTTGCACACCGGTTTTCATGGTGTCGCCATTTCTGAGCTCACAGGTTCGATTCCCGGCCGGGTCAATGTAGAAAGTAACTTACATTTTTTCGGGTCTGGGTGTTTGTGGTACCGTCGTTAGTTCCGATTTCCATAACACAAGGCTTTAGTTACTCACTTTGAGATCAGAACAACGTATGTTATATTGTCTATTTATTTATAATCGGATGCTGATAAACAATACTGTGTCAACCAATATGGCCATAGTTATGCAAAAAGACACCAAATTTGTTTTTCGTTTTGTTAATTTGTTCTAAAATTTACTTATAAAATAAAAACGTCTGCTGTTCTCATCTCAGGAATGGTGAATTATTAAGTCAGTTTCAGAACTAACTATCAAAACCAACGAAATTATGTTTATC